ATCGGCGTAGACTTGAATGTCCGGTATGTCCCGTCGGCTCATTCCCTTTTTGCTTCTATCACTAGATCTTTCGATCGCATCTTCGTCTTCTGGACAATGACTGTACGAGCGCTTTCTGGGAGTCATGGAGCACTCGCTCAGTCCACCCGAGACCTGTCGGTTACCGAGCATCCGAAAGTCAACCGTCGCGTCTCGACCATCGTACTGAAACGGCGAGCTGGGCTGTTCGTTCACAGACTCAGCATCTTCGACATCCAGAACGGGATCCTGCGTGCGATACATAGGTGAATAGTGCCCATTTTGGGGGGTATTTGTATTCGCGCCGTCAATCGTTTTCTTCGGACTCGGAAAGATATTCTCGGATTCGCTCTCATTCACCAAGGATTCATCTGCCACAGCCATCTCGACTTCCAATCCATTAGAACCCGGCGAAAAGGCTCGCGAATTCTGGCGCGAGGTCGTCAAAGGAGACAGAGGTTTGGACATGACAATCGTGAGTGGGTTCTCGTTAAGTGAAGAGCAAGGGGATTGTCATATGAATTGTATGTGTCAAACGGTGCTTTTAGGCCCTAGAAACATCAACTCAAGGTGAGTTAATGAAATGCACAGCAACCGGATAACGTCTGACTCGAGCAGGGCAAGGACAGTTAGTGATGTGGTTTATTATTATTTTCGGCTCGTTGCCAGGATGATGCTGTAAACAAAGCTATTCCTGATGGGATTTAGCACAGTGGCTAAGCGGTGGAACGTGGCAATTCCGTGTATCTGCTCTTACCGCCTTTTGTAGTACAAAATGAGAGATAAAAGGCCTCTATCAGTGTGGATAAGCCTGATAAGGGAGTACGGAGATATTGCCTACTACGCCTTGATGCGAATTGGAACAGTGGTACCTCTCTAAAATGTACAATATTTGCTCTGATATTTGACGCTACAGAAGAAAACTGAAATCTTAATCTAGTCATCTGTGACCACTGACACCGTACACCCAAACGCCATTTTGTCGCTAATCATGAAAGGTGAAAGAAAGAAAGCCATCTAGCACTGGTATCACTCATAAATAGTATCTTCAATCTATGTCAAAAAAGAATAACGGCGAGATTGGGACATACCCGCACCGTCTGCATCAGCATCGGTGTCCGTCACTATGATATGGATGGTCTCCTTTTGAGGTCGAGACTCATCTGGAACGTAATGATAATGGCAAGGCATAGCCGACCGAATTGTGGCGGAGGTATGTTTCTTGTGGTTCATGAAACACAGCTGCACAGCACCCACGACAGCAACTAAAGCGCTTCCCCACCATGCGATAGCAGTGAAATTCATATCAGCACCGGTGCTGTATAGGAAACCAGCAATAGGGGGAGCAATAGTCCTAGCGACGGCACCGGCAGAAGCAGCTAGCCCATTGATCTTTCCCATGACCGATTCCGAAGGGCTTGCTTGCTTAATGAGAATCAGCAGCACAGGGTAATCGATTATCGAAAGTATGTTGCGAATGATGAGGCATATATAAATGCCGAAGATGAGGGAGTTTTGCGGAACAAAGATGAGGAATGGAACGATGAAGTAGGCGACAGGATGCAGCACAGTCACCACCACAAATAGTCTCCAGACCCCAAGTAACTGAGCTAGAACGGGAAAAATGCAACTCTGAATAATGAGTGCGATGATGCCATCGGAAGACATAATCAGGCCGACTGTCCGTGTAGAAAGGCCGAGTCCGCCAGGGAAGCTAAGCGGCGCGTTACTGAGGCCCGAATCGTTCCTGCCATTCTTGTCCTGCAAGAAAATAGGCAAGAGATGATCGTACGTCATGGAGTGATAAGTAAATATGGATAACGCAATGATGAGCGAGACCACCCGATATGTAAAAACGGGTTCTTTCTGCATCTTGAACTTTGAACCGTCGGCATTCACAAACCAATCTTCATCTGCCTGCAAGCGAACTTGGTTGAAGGTACCATATGATTCTGCGCGTAGATCTACACCTGCATTGGCTGTCGCTCCTGCGGTGGCCAGAAGAGGACTTTCGGCAGACGTATGATCGAGGTCTCCGGAAGCTTTCTGATGCTGCAGACCAGGATGGGTCTCGTACAAGAATAACCAGCTGCCAACCATGCTGAGAAGGAGTAGGAGGGAGCAGACCAGATTCGGCAACAGGTAGGGAAATTTGCCGAAAAGACCGTTGGCGGAGAACAGGGATGGATAGCTTTCGGCGGGCTTCGCAAGCAAACCTCCAATCGCGGGACCGATAATAGTTCCAATTGACCAGACAAATGGCATCACGGCGTAGGCTCGAGCTATAATATTCACGATGAGCTATAACTCCTGCTCGGATTGTAGGGCATCTTCAAGCAGTCCACTTACGTTCATGTTCTGGTCGCTTGACTAGTTCCCCAACCATTGTCTGGATGACTCCGATATTCCCGTTCAGTAGACCACCAAGAGCGCGACCTAAGAGCGCCACCCAGAAATTTGGGGCGAATCCCACAAGGAGAAGGGATAGGATGGTGCCGAAGCAACCGGACAGAAGAACCGGTTTACGACCGATACGATCCGAAAGGCCTCCCCAGAACATCCCAGTGAGGGCTTCGGCAAGAGAAAAGGCGGACACGAGGATCCCGGCATAGAAGGAAGCATCTGTGCGATCTGCCACTCGAAAATCCTTGACCATAACCCAGGAATATGGGAATATGGATGTCAGGGCGATGGGCTCTGCGACACGGCATATTGCTGTTGCCACGAGAACGTAAGTATGTAGTGCGATAGATGAGAGGTGAATCACATACCGAGCAGGAATAGCTGAGTAGTAGGAAATGCATCGTCGGAGGTGGTTTGTCTTGTCTGGCGTGTTAATACCATATCTCCAGAAAATTCTTAAATTCTTACGGCAAGGCCCCCAACACTATGGCGAGTCTCCCAGGTGCTGTTGCTCTTTTTAATTGTCGGAATCCAGAGATCCTAGCCGCAGGAATTATGGTATGCCCTACGGCTTCGCAGTTGTTATTGGATTAATTTCCCTCGTTTTCGCTCTCTATCCTTTTTCTTTTGTAAAGCCGAATCTAGAAAGGCGTCAAGGTTATGAGACGAGCGAAATATGTGAAATGAGAATTGTTGATTGAACTTGGCTTTAGGAGGATGGTCGGGAGAGGAACAGGAAGAGAAAATATTGAAAGCGGGGGATGACCGCCACCTACTGATATGAAGGGGGGGAACCCGGTCGGAAGGGAAAACACTGGAATCACAATCAGGTTTCTTGGCGTGTGGATTTTATTCCTGCTTCCAGGCATTTGTTCCAAAGCAGGATCAGACATCTCTTCAACCAATAATACAGCCTTACAACAACAAGGGTACGGCTCTATTCACCACGGCCTAGAACATGTGCACACATCCCTTCATAGAAATATGATGGTAGAAAATGGATTTACCATCCTCTCTTGTTCAGCTGAAAATACCTTCCCATGCAGCCAGTCAAGCACATCTGCCTCCTAAACATCAGATTGACCTAGTACAAATGATGACTGCGTAACGGGAGTATACCATGGTATGAAGGTGGCAATCGGCGGTCCGCAGATTTTTAACCCATGATGTGTGAAGTTCGGCATATATAGTGGCAAAATTGAAGATCATAGGGCAATCCAACAGTCAAAAACCTTGACTCTATAGAAGTCCGCCTTGTCCGATGAGATCTTATGCAACTCTACCTCTCTTAGCTCGTCAGTGGAAATGTCACTTGCCAACACTAATGTTACACTAGTACCATTGTGCATTAGACTACAGCTCACAACAGACCTGGTATGTTGTTAGCGGCTGCTTTTCTAGGGGTTTCTGCTTCAATAGCCAATCAAGCTGAACTTGCAGAATGTTCACTCCATGGTACCTCGTGCACTCTATTATAACCACCTACCTTAATGTATACAGTTGACATCCACCTTCCTTGAAAGTGAGCAGAATGGAGGAACTCCTAAGGCACTAGGGATTTTTTATGTGATCAATAAATTATGTCGCTATGGCCCAACTGTTACATTTTGACTTATGCAAATGTCTTCCCCTCTCTCCCATGTTTTTCTTCATCAGTTCTCAAACGCCAACTGAACACTATACAGAGGTGCCGCGACTGCTTCATGATAGACCTTTCTGTCCTATGATTCACATGATCAACAGCAGTTTCGGTCCCCAAAGCTGTCGAGATGTGAATCCTGGGTTTATTACGTACGTGAATCTCCATATGGATTACTGTCATCTACTTGATTAGCACATACGACCATAGGGTGTGGAAAACAGGGCTTCCCGTCCGCTCAGCCGTACTTAAGCCACACGCCGGCCGGTTAGTAGTTGGGTGGGTGACCACCAGCGAATCCCGGCTGTTGTATGTTTTTGTTAATTTTTGTTGAAATTGCCATCTGACCTTCAATTCAGTCCTGCCCCTATCCGCGGGAGTGTCACCCCGCTTTTCCACATGCCATCCAGGATTATAACCTGACGAGCCTCCAGAAATGGAGAGTCAGGGATCCTTCAGTTGCCAACCCACCTTGAGCCTTCTTCGTTCATGCTGGAGACCTGGAATTTAATCCAGGCAAAGACCTGCTAGGCCGGAATAGTAGTTTGACGGCAAACCCACTCGACTCTGGACTCTTCCACGCGAGGCAATGGAACGTCTAGGACATGACGCCGAGAGGCCGTTCTGGGAGGCGACCGTGGCGTGCTATGCAGCCAGTCTTTGAATCCTGGAAGTCCAAGTGGACTTTGTGAGCATTGGGAAGCTGTCTTTGAAAACTCTGATGCAAAGTCCGGTGTTTGCAGGTAGCTAATCGGTCAGTTGTAATTTCATATTCAAAACAGGTTTGGGCGCCAATGACCCTATGTATGTGCAAGCTGACGGCTTGGCGCTATTGCGGTATATACAAATAGCAATCAAAGATTCAGTAAACTTCCTGTTATTACAACCAATCAGTTGCCCAGTCAGACGGATAAGAATTGGAGATGTTCCAGTCAAGGCTTCAAGAACGCTTCACACGACTCCACCCAGTCTGGAATCTCGTCTGGTTAAATCGAGGAAGTACATGGGCTTCTGTGTTGAATACCACTTCGCTTAGGGGGAGGAATTMTTTCGGAGAGAAAAGCAGGTATAAATACTTCAAGGTCTCGGCCTGCAAAGGATTAGTTTTAATCATCTCTAGAGTTTGTATATATGGTATCTTACCAGCCAAAAACTCTCCATATTATCTCGTTGTGGTGGGGAGACTTTTGTAACGTCTTGCAAGGATGTATATCCTTGGCTGCCGCTGACTATTGTGTGCTTCTGGAAAGCCTTGAAGATCTTCCAACCCCATTTCCGGTATATGGGGTCGTTTGTCACTCGATACATCAGAAAAAGACTCTCAACTGTTTCGGGTCTCTGGAGGTTGTGCGCATCCAGAGGTTTGATGATAAAGTCGCGTGTCCACGAACCCTCATCATTCCTGCTTAAAGGCCGCGGTGATGATCCGGGAGACGGTCGGAGATTGGCTTCGTCGACCTCGAACCAGACAATTTCCGGGGATAGACCGGACTCTGTGACTGCATACATCGCCCAGCAAGTTTTTGTAAGCTCCCGTGCCAACTGCATTTGCTGTTCCTTCTGGGAATTCCACCCAGGCATCTGGCGGGCTTCCTTTTCAGTTAGTCCCTCGGTAGCACCAAATGCAATTGAACCTGGAAGGAAACAGACAAGATGGTCCATCTTAGGGGATAAAGGCCCACCAATGCCCTGCGGGAGCTCAGCAATGAACTGGAGCTTCGAGTGTTTAGTAGAAGTGACAAGATGTTTCTGGATACCAGCCAAGGCTTCTTCCCACATCTCGCGGTATATTGGCTCCTGCCCAGAGGTCTGCAGGTATTGTTTAATTAAGTACTCTAGTGCCAGTAAGCTTTGTGTTTCTAATCGTACTTAATATTGGACATAATGTATACATACCATAGTATGAGTCTCCGCGACTTCCAAGGCGGATCTCCCCGGACATAAACTGTCCAGTATCAGGGTGGATAAAGATAGGTACCAAGCCGTCCTGCATTTGATGATCATTTATGACTTTCATGACCTGTTCGGCCTTCTGCCAGTACTTTCTTTTGCCAGTGAGATGGGCGAGATACTTCATCTCTAATTGGAGAGTAGTGGCCTCGGCTGTTGATGAAACTCCACCGTTTGCATGAGAGGGAAGTCCTTGTCCGGTCCCAATATTCACACTTGCATATGGTATTCCTGATTCAGACTCATATGCACTAAGCAGCCGGTCTGCCAGATCCACAGCTTTAGTCAAGTAAACATAGTCTCGCCGGGACGAAACATGAGGAAGCATGTTAGATAAATAATGGGCAGATAAGAGCCCACCAAGCATGCGGATAGTCATCTCAAATGTGTTCACATCCTGGTCTTGAGCATAAGTCAAGCCACGGTGAAGCCATTTCCGCGCATCTGAAAGACGAGCGGTCTGGTTCATAATCATTAGGGTGTCCAAGCTGTCAACAATAATCCACCCTAGACCGCTGGGGCTCATTTGCGAGCCAGCCTTAGAGACTGGATGAAAGCGATCATTCCCTGGATATAGAAGTCCGCATCGTCAGTGCATGTACTTACTGAAGATGTTGTTGTACTTGGGCCTACCAAGGCCAGGCGAGACAAACTTACCCCAAGCATATTTGGCATAAGCATCCCAGCTGGCCACAAAGGCATCTTTTACTTCTTCCCGATGCCCGTACCAATAACTATCTTCCTCAATGGGCCGGAAAAAATCCAGAGTAGTTTCCACAGTTGTCTCAAAACTCAAGAATTGAAGCCACCAAGCGGCCACCAAGGCTAGGAAGCCAGTGGCGAGGAATTTCAGAGCCCAATTCAGGCGAGGCAACGAACGCAATCGGAAATCTTTGGTGTCTTTTCGCCGCGGACGCTTCTGGTTCTTCGAGGCTCCTCTCGACGACATGATCATGTTCTTGCCTGAGAGATTAGGGGACTACGTAGCGGAGCGCCGAATGCAGATTCACGGGGCATTCATGGGGGACCTGGCAATCAAATAATAGCGGTTCTGGTGGCGCCAAACCGCCCGCAGGGATCAGTTGAAGCAGCAGCATCTATATGGTATGACCCCTGTTTTAGTACATTGGGTTGGAGCGGGAAATATGTACCTAAGATTGGCCAGGTAACTTCCCAGTTGGGCAGTTTGTGGTTATAGTCGCAGACAACGTCCTTAGCCAATCTCTTGCTCCAATCTTTCAAGAGGTTCATTTACAGTACTCCGTAGACTCTCTGGGGTTTAATGTACATTGTTTACCACCTTCCGCGTTCATTCTTTGTCACTCTAACACCCTTTAATCTCATGGAGCCGCCAGGCGCTCATGCTCGCTTGCTTACTCGGAGACCATTGGACCACGAGCCTGCGGCTGAGTCCCTGTAAGCGCCGGCCTGTGATTAGGGCACTGCCTGAGCATCGCGCTCACACAGCGGGCTTTGCACCAACCCCCACCCCCTCTGAATTATACTATGTTTTTGCCGCAACGCCTGGTTTCTCATTCACCTTCTTTTTTCCTTAGTTTTTTGGCTTCTCATATTGCCTCTGACATGCAGGTTCTTGAGCCTCCCGTGCAATCCGAACACTTACCTCGCCATCATTCACTGAAACAATATCATTTCACTTAGGACGACAGGTTCATTGTTAAGTCAGGCAAATCAAATGTGAGCCACACTTTATCCCGCGGTGACCGATGCTACTACAGTCACATCACTTATTCCTCTTACTACAGCCTGGCCTTCTTCTTCAGGATGCGACAGTTATTTCCGCCTGAACGGGCCGAGCTTGTTGGCCTACGACCCTGGCTATGGGCCTGAGATTGACATGAATGTAATATGTGCTCCGCCAGCAGTAACGACATGGTGGGAGCAGGGATGTTTGGGTGGTGGGACTTAATATCATACAGCAGTCGGCATCGGCCCTATAACATGCCCTGAGGCCTTTTCCACAGTGGTCACTTCTATCAAAGATGGCATCAGCACGCTCGAAATGTGCTGCCCTTCATAGGCTGCTTCCAAAGCACTCACTCATCATTTCCTGATACTAATCACAGTAGTGGTTATGATCTAGTGGATGGATACCTGGGAAAGTCAAAGGCTGTTGCCTGTCCACAGTATCTTCCAGCATGACTCTTACTAAATGCATCAGCTCCTTATGGCGACTCAACTACATGGAAAATAACCACAACGACACTATCCCGAACCTTAACTGTGGGTGTGATTGGTGTAGAAGGCTGGAACATAAAGTATAATACCCTGATGTCCACTTCCACATCAACTTCAGCTACTTTGGCACCAACTTTAGCTACTTCAACGTTAGCTTTAGTTGGCCCTGATACTACATCTGAGACTGCTAGCACTTCTGCCACCTTAAGCTGTAGTGCTGGCGGCCTTACAATAGGCGCAAAGATGGGAATCAGAGTTGGAGTTGGAGTGGATGGTATAGGTGCAATAGTGCTGTTTGCTGTGCCATATACCTTGCTCTGCTGAAGGAAGGAAGCCATACCTAATAATATGTGCACTATTTGCAACAGCTGCCCACTTGGCCTTCAGAGCTCCCGGGCTAATAAAACCAATGCCTGCCTCTCCTGTGGAATTAGGAAGGTCACCTCTACTTTTCCAAAAATACATTTAGCTCTTACTAGTGGCATGCGTCTTCTCTCTCACTCTCTTTCTTCCTTTCTTTCCATCCCCCTTTTATTTATTTTTTTATTTATTTCTTTTTTGGGTGCCTGTGCTGGGAGGCCACATTAATGTATGAATGGAACCCTTAGCCCTGAGGGCTCTCAGTCTCTCTCTTCAACTCTTCGCAATGACAAGCATCCCAGCAAACGAACCTGCTGTTCTGGGACCTGTCGTGTTATGAGACGAGACAAGACAGCTAGCCACCCCCTTCCTATGCATCCCGAAGATCGGGGCCCCATATGGCCCTTCAGAATATAGCAGCGCCGCCGGTACCTTGACTGGGATCCAAACAGCAACAACCAAGGTGCCACCGACGCTAAACGGATACTGGCAGTGGAAGGTCACTCAAACGGTTATGCTTGGGCCATAGGCCCAGGAGAAGTCGTCTGCTGTCTGGACTCAGGCTCATCCGTTTACAAGCCGGCAGATGATCGTTCTTCTTGATGGCCCCAGAGATAAGTGCCTAAGTCTGGCTACGCTCGAGAGCAGACCACCGGGAAGAAGGGGACCTGTATACTTACTATATTGCTTTACGAGGGTACTATGTCTCGGGAGCCCGTGGTATTGGAGTTCAATAGCAATCTCGAACGCAGGTATCACAAGGAGGCTTCCTGTTCATTCTCGTGTGTAATCGGCAACGGCAAAGGAGCAGCTTAGGCGATGTTCAAATGGCGTTGGAGTTCTGGGCAAGAGATTAAAGAACTATCAGTTCTCGTTTGGTTGGAAGTCGGTGCGGATGTCTCAGGTCTTGAACAAGAGAGTAGTGAACCGAGCGCACCGCATGCATGCTAGGATACACCCAGGGTGACAGGGAGTTTGTCGCCATTGTTGCGCATAATTTGTTGATGAGCATGACCAAGCCATTTCGATCTGCGTTACTGGCCCCTCATATAGATAAAATAGTGATCTGGTCTGGAATTGGTATATCGAATGTCTGACTGGTCGACTGGGTTCTGATTCTAGAGAACTCCGCAACAGATTCAACAAATTCCCAGTTGAATTGGACCAAGGATAGACATAAGGAATCTAGACAAGACCCTTAAGATATCGCACGAGGCTTCTTCCCGATTACTTTGGACCTTCTCGAATACTCATCCGCCGCCACCACCGTCCCATCCTCGTCCTCTACATGTGTACGGGCCCCATCAGTGCATGGGATCAGGCCGGGACGCGGTATATGGGGCATTCTTCTCCAAAAGTCATCATTCCAATCGTCATTCATGAAAGTCCACAGTCCGGTGATGTCCAGACGTAAAAATCCTTGATAATTTTCATAGTCGGGACTCCTTATTCCGCCTTCCTGAAACCTCCGCTCAATGAGAATCACGTAGCCGGCGTCTAATCCAAACAAGAAGCTACCATCCTCGGAGGGTTCCGGGGTATTGAGGATGGACCGGAGGGCCTTATCGTCAATCATCAGACAAAACTCCGACCGTGGAGTGCCATCCTGGTCATGGCGAGTCATCCAATCGTCAAACAGGCGCCGGACCTGGTGGACAGAAGCACCACCAAGAAGCTCTCGATCCTCGATGACTACATTCCTGTAACCCTCACAAATAAGCCGGATGGGTTCTGGATGGCTGAATGTCCGGCGGTATCGGAGGAAGCAGTGAACACAGGCATCGAGCTTTCGCATCGCCTCCTTCCAATCGGCTTCGGAAACATTCTCATAACAAGTCCGGTAGATGAAATAGCCCCATGGCCACATCCACTCATAATACTCCGCGAAGAACCTCGCCGTCATGTCAGCATTCCACCATGGATAGCTCTGAAAGCGGCGGTCTCGCTCTTGCCAGGGCTCGTCCGCGGGAAAGTCCGGAGAGGTCCATGGTTCTGGCCATGATTTATGGTGGAAGAAGTCATTGAATGAGTCGGGCGAGGAGGGCCGGGGAGAGAGTTCCCCCATGTTTGCAGATTGGATAAATTGAATGCAAGCCACGGATCCAAGGTGGTTGACGGTGGTACAGGTTATGTCATGAGATCAGAGCACGAAACAGCCGGGGTATCTCAGTCATACAAAATCCGTTTAAAAGATAAAAGGCGTTTGTTTGCTTTAGGACTACGAAAGGTGTCGTCTGGACTGAGATGTTTGTTGGAGGCGGCAGACTACTACCTTAGCTTGCGAGTCTTGCAGGTTAAATCAACTCGTTCCACTAAGCAAAAGCAAATACCTAGCGACTCAATTCTTGGCTAGCTGCACTAGTGCAAACAAGGAAACTCAGGGCACTTGAAGCCATATGGACGTTCTTTTTCTTGATACTCGGTATGAGCTGAGAAAGGGTATACGTCAATTCCTCTACCATCTCCATCGGACAATCTCTCGCGCATGCAGTCCTCAGAAAGAAAGTGAAACCTGACCATGTCATTTTCACTACCTATCAAGAGAAGACGATGACTCTACCGGTAAGTAGAACAGTCGAAGCTTCCGCAGATCATGACTGATGAGCTAACATTGTGTGATCAGACTGAGTCACTGAAGTCTCTGAGCATCAAACCCATGACTTATGTGCTTTGTACTCCTCGGCGCAGAAGAAACTTGATCCCCAGACTATGGTTACAAGTGCATCAACCATCGAGAGAGCAGTGAGGTTTGCCAGATCAATGGGAGGCGGTGAAGATGGAAAGTAAGCACTTGTAACCGGGAGCTTATAAATGGTTGACGGAGCACTCAGATTTCCGAGATCATCGTCGCGTTAACGTACTGGTGTTTTGTCGTTAAATCGATTTGGCCTCCACGGGTGAGCTTTTATGCCAATAAACCTGATGCGAGCGGAAACCCTTTTGGTCTGCGGCTGGAGGATAATGTCTCATACTCATAAACCTGTACAACTAATAGATTGATCCTATTTGTCAGCGGAGTGCAAATCAAGACCAGGTCTTGTAGGTCTTATATTCCGTCAGTGAGCACATGAGCAACCCTAAGCCTCTGTAATTAGAGCGCACCGCGCAAGGTGCGTGAGAGGATGCCGAAAACAGCGTAGCAGAATGAAGTTTTCATAGAGGGTATCGCGAAACCAAGCCAAGTAAGAAAGAAGTAGAACTGATGTATCGATCAATCGACGATCATCCTGGTATTGATTGCTAACGTTCAACGTTCTCAGAAACTGGAATATACGATCGTCTTTCTCGTGCTGCCTGAACATATCAAGTTAGTCCGCTGTTCTGAAGAAGCTCGGCCATAACCACCTCATACCTCAAGCCACTTTTCAACCCATGGCTTGCAAGCTGCCC